TGTCCAGATTTGAAGTGGTTAATGATTGTTTTTTTTTTTGTGTTACTTTGGAATAGAGGTGTCAGCTTCTGAATTTATGATGTCGGCAGGGGCGGACTGACCATTTGGAAATTCGGCACTGCCCGAGGGCCCGGGGTCAGTAGGGGGCCCCATGAGATGCCCCTGGTACCTTTTTCATAGGCTTTTTTGAGTTTGGGCAAGGACACAGGGGCCCCATGATCCCCTATTGCCCGGGGGCTCCATGAGTTGTCAGTCCGCCCCTGGATGTCGGTACACATATTACAATGATTTTTGATAATATTGTGATTCTTTGTATTGGGATACATGTAACTAAGACACATTTCGTATTCCTTTTGATCCTTTTTAATGTGTCGGAGGTGACCTTGAAATATGTAGGCTTTAAAAGTGTTGTACTGTTTTATAGGCAGAGTAATGTACACAGCCAAATCTCTCCAGGAGAACCTGATCTCCAAATACCTTTTTATTTACTGAGCCAAAAGATAAAGGTTTTAGATAATGATAATGTTCCACTGGTGGTTTGAATAAGAGGAGAGCATTACTGTGTGGTCATATGGGTATATAAAGCGAAGTTGATAGCATACGTGTAACATTTGGACAGAAAAGGAAACATGTTAGCGTATCTGCTCTGTGTGGCTTGCCTGATATGCCTCCAGGGCACGGGAGCACAAGAAGATGGTAAGAGGGTCAAATATGAACATTTGCTTATAAAGCTGATCATTTTATATGGGATAAGAACAGCAATTCATTTTTATTAATTAATGATGTTTCTAAAGCAAGCAAAAACATTGATTGTATTATTTTTGGACATCAGTTCACCAAAGGTATATTGAGGAACTGGAGAAAGTACAGAGAAGGGCAACCAACCTAATACGAGGCATGGAGGAGCTCAGCTATGAGGAAAGATTAGAGGAACTGAATGTATTTTCTCTTGAGAATAGTGATTAACCAGGGATATGATCACCTTCTATAAATACATAAGCACATTACTCTTCAAGAACTTCAAGAACTGTGAAAATGATGAATAGATGCCCTTAGGAACTAATTCAGTATATTTATTTATTTATTTTATTTTTTAAAGAGCTGGATGTATTCCTAAATGCACAAAATCTAGCTGGATCTTAACATTAATAGTCAATAATGTCAGTGATTAATAATGCAGAGAGATTCTGATTGCCTTTGGGGGACCAGAAAGGATCCCCCCCCCCCTTTCTTCTGATTGGACCAACTGGACCATGCTTTATAGGGTTTTTCTTGTCATTTTATGGATCAACTGTAGGCATATGGTTCCATATTTGGAGGTTTGGTATGTCTCTTAGATTGTAAGCTCCAAGGATCAGGGCCCTACTAACCCTCTTGTATTGAACTGTATTGTTGCTGTATTGTCTCCTGTTATATTGTAAAGAGCTGAGCAAACTGTTGGTGCCATATAAATTCTGTATAATAATAATAATATTTTCTTCTATTGGTTGAACTCTAGGTGTCTTTCTTCAACCTCACCTTAAATTTTAAGTACCCAATCAGGGGCGGACTGACCATTTGGAAACTCGGGCACTGTCCGAGGGCCCAGGGTCAGTAGGGGGCCCCATGAGATGCCCCTGGTACCTTTTTCATAGGCTTTTTTGAGTTTGGGCAAGGACACAGGGGCCTCATGATTCCCTATTGCCCGGGGGCCCATGAGTTGTCAGTCCACCCCTGTACACAATCAATTTCAGTATTACCCACACAAATCCTGATGATAATTTTAAGGACATTTTACAAGTGTCAATTAATTCATTGAAAGGGTCAGTCCACCCAAAAACTTTTGGAGATGCTGGGAGCATTATTCCATCTGCCAGTCTTTTCTCATGGGGACTCTGTTGATGAGTTCCCAAGTCTTCACACTAGCTGTGTCCGTTATGAGAGACTTCTTTTATAAACCTTTTTATATTATGGAGAATGTAAATGGAGAATATGGGATACAAAAAGGTGGGCAGCAACATCCAAAGCTCCCAGGTGGACAGAAGCCGAAATGAGAATTGAATAGCCAAGACATAAAGGAATCCAACAGCTGTTTCAGCCAACCAGACTCCACTCCAGGGGCGGACTGACCAATCGAGCACTCGGGCACTGCCCGAGGGCCCGGGGTCAGTAGGGGGCCCCATGAAATGCCCCTGGTACCTTTCTTATAGGCTTTTTTGAGTGTGGGCAAGGACACAGGGGCCCCATGATCCCCTATTGCCTGGGGGCCCCATGAGTTGTCAGTCCACCCCTGCTCAACTCATCACTTTTGGGTTGACTGGCTCTTTATGTAACTAAGTATTTTTTAAGAACCTTTTTTCAATAAAAATATCTATCAATATTTGTGTTGTTACCATCTAATACAGCTGATTAGGTTACCAAAATGAGAAAAAAGGGATCCCTTTGACAACGTGCATGCGCACGAAAAGCGTCAGTTGGAGCCTTGCCGTATTGACGTCACGCCGCAGAGGCCACATGGAAGGCTGGCGGCCATCTTTTGTCCCTGCAAGTGTGTGCTGACAGCTGATTTATGGATTGATCCTTTCTGCATACCAATATAATAAAATACTACACTATCAGCACTTTATTGTTTCTGGCTTGTTTATAGCGAGCCTTTTAAGGTGGAAACAGAGGCATACTGACAATTCATGGGGCCCCCGGGCAATAGGGGATCATAGGGCCCCTGTGTCCCTGCCCAAACTCAAAAAAGCCTATGAAAAAGGTACCAGGGGCATTTCATGGGGCCCCCTACTGACCCCGGGCCCTCGGGCAATGCCCGAGTTTCCAAATGGTCAGTCTGCCCCTGGGTGGAAACATCCTTTTTGAGCTATTATTATCTGGTGGTGATGGAGTATTGAGGAGCTGTTCCTGGATACTGAGAGGGTCCTGTGAGTGAGGTCTGGAGTTATGCCTTGTATGCTGTCTGTGTGCCAGATGATTTCTATTCCTTTCCTGAACCCAGATGACCACAGAGGATAATATATACACATGAGCATTAATCACACTGTTGATTCTTATCACGGAAGTCACGTGCATGGATTTCACGGAATAATTTGGACTATTTTATGCCTTTCCAGATTTTATTTATTGATTTTACGCCATAATAGGTTACCAAAGTTGCATTCTTCCTCAATATCTCTTTTCATTCCTATTTCTTCTTTTACTTCCATGCAGCTCGCTTAATCCATGTTGAATTCACAGTTGTGAATGATTTAACAGGGAACTTTTTTAAGAATTCCATTACTGTAGAAGTGAGAGAAGGGTCCACACTACTGCAGGTCATGGAAAAAGCTGCCGAACTGAACCCCAAGGAATTCAGGTGAGAACTTGCAACCTGACATTGACGAAAACAATTTCTTGTTTGACATTTGATAATGCAACACATGTGCGGTTCTCAGAGAGTGTTTATCAGCGCTCCTTGCTATAACCTTTCTCTGGGCTTAACGTTTTGGAGGTCATTAAAATGTAATTCCAGTCAATTTTTTTTTAACCATTCTTCATTACCAGGCCAACTCTCAGTTTTCAGTACTGGGATAGTTTGACAATTACTCTGTCATTCAATAGTGTACCCAATTAAATTTAAAAAAAAAAAAATATTGACAATATTATTACTGTTATAAAACATAGCAAAAAAAAGCCAGAACAGTATGAAAAACCCCAAAATGACTCCTTTTTGAAAACTAGACACCCCAAAGTGATCTCATTTTTTACGCAATGTTTTGGAAATGAACAAGCATGCTGGTATTGAGATGGTTAGAACATGGAGCTTGATAATGGTGCACTAGATACAGCGGCATCATAGGTCATACAGAGAAGGATGTAATGTACAGGTCATATATAGTGGGGGGATGGAGATGAAGGGGTTAATACTCAGATATGTAGCGTAAGGGAGGCGAGAGGTTAATTTACAATGTCACATAAAGACAGGATGGAGCTGACATGTAGGTGAAGGTGTAAAGGACCCCAGACACCCATGACTGGGTATCTCTGTCAAGAAGCTGCTTCTCAGGCTCTGGAACACAAAACTAGTGAATCTGGCTATTGTTACCCCAAGATCCAGATGACACCAGATTTGAAGTAAACCAGAGGTAGACTACTTTATTTGAACACAGATACAAGATATATCCACTCAGGGGACAATCCCCCCTCCCTGCATAATGACACAAGGCAGGGCAATCTACATTTAGTAACAAAAGACACACAGGTATTCAAACTTCACACCAGCAGACAGTCCCATCAGGAGGGAAAGCTGCTGGAGACACCGCCCCCCCCCCCCACTAAGCTAATACACATAAACACATACATCCCATAATAGTTTGCTCCCAAGCCAGACAAATAATAGAACAATGGGATGCAGCCACATAACACCAAACAATCCACAACCCCCACCCCACCTATCTCCTAGACATGTCTACACAGTCTGAGACAAAGCCCTCCCAATATTAGGACAGATCACCCTGTACCCCTAACAGGCACAGGGTGACTTACACATAAGAGGAATATGGGGAGCTGAGACAGGGGTCTCCCCAGCTCTCCAAAGTGAGCTGGGTTCCATGGGCCCCCAACCCAAAGTGACTCCCGCCACAGAAGGGGTTAAAAAAATGGGGCAGCACAATGGCAAAATGGTTAGCACTTCTGCCGGGCAGTACAAGGGTCATTGGTTCGAATCCCAACCAGGGCACCACCTGCATTGGGTTTGAATGTTCTCTCTGTGCTTGCGTGGGTTTCCTCTGGGTACTCCAGTTTCCTCCCACACTCCAAAGATATACTGGTAGGTTAATTGGCTCCCGTCTAAATTGTCCCTAGTATGTGCATGTATGAATGTAAGTTAAGGACCTTAGATTGTACACCCCTTGAGGGTTAGGGACTGATGTGAATGTATATATATATATATATTTAAAGCGCTGTGTAAATTGACGGTGCTATATAAGTACATGAAATAAACAAAAATAAATAAATCTCACAATCAAACTTCCTCCCCTTAGTCTGCTGCTGCTGCTGATCTGGAACTTATGAATGAATTCTACCTATAAATGATAGGGGCAGGCTCTGCAGATGTAAACAGTAGAGACTTTACATTTGTGATTATGAGCTATTATTGGTCATTAGCAGGGGAGGACTGACAACTGATGGGGACCCTGGGCAATAGGGGATCATGGGGCCCCTGTTTCCTTGACCACACTCAAAGCACACCCAAAAAAGCCTATAAAAGGAACCAGGGGGATTTCATGGGGCCCCCTACTGACCCTTGGCCCTCCGGCAGTGCCCGAGTGCTCTAATGGTCAGTCCGCCCCTGGTCATTAGAGCAATCAAATGGTACAGAGTTGCTTATATTAGCTCTGCAAAACTGTGTCTGTGGACTGAGCCATCCATTGATAGGTTGCTTTATAGCCATTGTTGCACTGACCACCTAAGGACTATTTCTGAAGTTCTGTTTTTAAATGGCTTTCTAGAAATAGACGTCTACCTCCCTGCTGTTTTTTTATTGTGCTCCTGTGCTCTAAATATAGGCACAAATTTACATATTCTTAACAAGTCATAAAAGAGCTTTAAACAAGTCCTCACTTACCTCTAAAGCTGCTTGTACTATGAAGAAATTCATTCTGAAAATTACTTAACTTAAAGGGAAAAAAAAAACTCTCCACTACCTAATCTACCCACCCAGTGGTGTATTTAGGTTTCGTGCTGCCTTAGGCAACAAAACAATCGTCGTCCCCCCCATATGGAGAGACACCTACCAACACCCCCCTTCCCCACAAAGAGAGCCTGACATTGACCAAAAACACAGCAGCCCCCACTCCCACCCTCACCCGAGAGAGCCTTTAACTACTACTGCCCCCCCATACACTGACAGCCCCCCCACCCCAGCGAGAGAGAAGACACTCACCTTCACAGCTCCAGACATCCCTGGGAACGAGAGTCAGCCTCTGCATACACCATCAAGCAGCCCGCAGCCTCTCTCAGATCCCACCTGATCCCCATGCTGTGTGTGTCCATTCTTTCGGGTGGCGATGCTGCCCTCCTGAAAAATGCTGCTGCCCCCCTGAAAAATGACACCCTAGGCAAATGCCTTGTGGTAAATACGCCCATGTACCCACCCCATCCCTAAATACTCACTCTACTCCTGTTACTGTTCCAGCTCTGTGTAGGCTGCAGCACCGCTCCTCTCACAAGATACAGCGGGAGCCTGTGAATTTCCTATTTGTATTCTTTGTAAAGTGCTTTGAGAAGCTATAAAATAAAGAGTAGTAGTAGTAGTAGTCGTAGTAGTAGTCGTCCACCACCCAACCCCCTTAAGCTCACCTTCACCATGCTGAACTAAATTAATAAGGGGCATGGTTGAGATCTGAAATGAGGAAAGATGAACTGAATTGAATTTATTCTCCATTGAGGAAAGGTGACTAAGGGGAACATAATTATCTTCTATAAATATATATGTTCCCAATGCAATGGTCCATTACAAAAGAGTTTAGAAAATAAAGAGACTTCCACAGCAGCTAGTTTTAGCTGATTTAGTAAGTTCTTCACAAAAGGCTGGATGTGTTTCTACATTTACAAAATATAGCTGGCTAGTAATACAGAATGTAAGATATAACATTGTAGATCATTGATCCAAGGAGCATCTTGACCAGGACAAGATACCAGGAAGGTTTTTCTCATGTTAGGACAATCTGGACCAAGATTCATGTAGCACCCTACTGGCCAGGATGCTAGGCAAATTTAGATTTCGATTCCTTCTGTAGTCAAGGGAGCAGTGATTGTTTGTTCTGGCCTGGTTAGGGTTTTACAGTCTGGAAGTTTGATTGTCTCTCCATGTTTTTTGGAAGAAGTCTCTAGAACATATAGAGGAGATTCAAATGACCAGCTTGAATATTTATCATGCTCTGACCAATCCCTGGAGAGGAGTGTCCAGAAGGGGGTTCATGAGGTGATGAATAGTCTGAAGCCATTGAGATTGTTCTTTCTTGGGCAAATAGGGTTCCAAAGCCTCTAGGGCTGCTGCCATAGGAGGCAGCCTTTGGGCAGAATCACTTTGAGATCTCATCTGTGGCAGAGCTGGGGACCTGGAATGATCTGGAGCTGGCTGTGGGACTTCACCATAAGGGAATCTGGTCTGAAGAAGGATTGTATTCTGGACTGCAACATCTCTCACAGGGTTTCAGAGTACCGGCTATTCACTTGTCCTCAGCAGAACCCTAGAGTGGGAGCCTAGAGAAAAGTGTCCTCTAGTTACTGTGCAAGCATTTTGGAGTATCCAATGCCCTAACCCCTCTCCTGTTTTTAAAGTTCTACGAGCAAATACATTTCAAAAAGACATTCCTTAGACTGAGTTGTTGAAGCTGATATGTGTGTTGAGTTGTGCTTGTGGAGAAGGGAAGCCTCTGTAAGGTTTGAGAAGAGCCAGCTATTACCAGTGGCCCCTATGAGAGTAGCGCTACACTTATAATTGCTGTTTTTTTTCCCTGGATTAAGGGATAATCTAGCAATATAATTTTTTTAGTGGGGTTAACCTCATAACTGTTATTTTTCAATTTAACAACAGGTATGTAATTACAGTACATAATAGTGCTGTATATCTTAATGGTTCTCTTTTATCCATCTTACTATGACACAGCTTCCAGACACAAGAGTACCCCTTTGGAGTTTACATTACAGCCATTGGCCAACTTTTCGGAAGCACCAATGAAAAGACATACTGGCAGTTCTTTAGTGGTAACAATCCATTGGCGGAAGGTGAGTACTCAGTACAGTTACACTGCTCTAAATTCTACTGACCCCTGTGCACTGCTCTACATACTACTGACCTCTGCACACTGCCCTACATACTACTACTTACCCCTGTACACTACTCTACATGCTACTGACCCCTTTGCACTATTCTACATGCTACTGACCCCTTTGCACTGCTCTACATACTACTGACCCCTGTGCACTGCCTCACATACTACTATCCTCTGTACACTGCTCTACATACTACGGACCCCTGTACACTGCCCTACATACTACTGACCTCTGTGCACTGCCTCACATACTACTGTCCTCTGTACACTGCCCTACATACTACTGACCTCTGTGCACTGCCTCACATACTACTGTCCTCTGTACAGTGCCTACATACTACTGACCTCTGTCCACTGCTCACATACTACTGTCCTCTGTACACTGCTCTACATACTACTGACCTCTGTGCACTGCTGTACATACTACTGTACACCTCTACATATACTGACCTCTGTGCACTGCTGTACATACTACTGTCCCCTGTATAACTCTGTACTACTGCTCTACACTGCTCTACATACTACTGACCCCTGTGCACTGCCTCACATACTACTGACCCCTGTATACTGCTGTACATACTACTGACCTCTGTGCACTTGTGTACATACTACTGACCCCTGTACTCTAGTACATGGATGAACAGGATGGTATATAAGAGGTATATGGATGAATATGATGGTATATAAGACAGGTATATGGATGAATAGGATGGTATATAAGAGGTATATGGATGAATAGGATGGTATATAAGAGGTACATGGATGAATAGGATGGTATATAAGACAGGTATATGGATGAATAGGATGGTATATAAGAGGTATACGGATGAATAGGATGGTATATAAGAGGTGCATGGATGAAAAGGATGGTATATAAGAGGTATATGGATGAATAGGATGGTATATAAGAGGTATACGGATGAATAGGATGGTATATAAGAGGTGCATGGATGAATAGGATGGTATATAAGAGGTATACAGATGAATAGGATGCTATATAAGAGGTATACGGATGAATAGGATGGTATATAAGAGGTATACGGATGAATAGGATGGTATATAAGACAGGTATATGGATGAATAGGATGGTATATAAGAGGTATACGGATGAATAGGATGGTATATAAGAGGTACATGGATGAATAGGATGGTATATAAGAGGTATATGGATGAATAGGATGGTATATAAGAGGTATACGGATGAATAGGATGGTATATAAGAGGTGCATGGATGAATAGGATGGTATATAAGAGGTATACAGATGAATAGGATGGTATATAAGAGGTATACGGATGAATAGGATGGTATATAAGAGGTATACGGATGAATAGGATGGTATATAAGAGGTATACGGATGAATAGGATGGTATATAAGAGGTATACGGATGAATAGGATGGTATATAAGAGGTATATGGATGAATAGGATGGTTTATAAGAGGTATACGGATGAATAGGATGGTATATAAGACAGGTATATGGATGAATAGGATGGTATATAAGAGGTATACGGATGAATAGGATGGTATATAAGAGGTATAACGGATGAATAGGATGGTATATAAGAGGTATACGGATGAATAGGATGGTATATAAGAGGTTTACGGATGAATAGGATGGTATGTAAGACAGGTATATGGATGAATAGGATGGTATGTAAGAGGTATATGGATGAATAGGATGGTATATAAGAGGTATACGGATGAATAGGATGGTATATACAGTTGTGTCCAAAATTATTCAACCCCACTGAAATTGAGTGTTTTGGCCAGTTTGACATTGCTTTTGATCATTCAGTCATCTTGCTTACATTTACATTAAAGAGGCACTTTGTAGGTCAGACAAATATAACATAACAGTTATAATGAAATAACCACAAATGTCTTTTCTGTGCTCACAGCATTATCAGTTTTATTCAACCCCCAAGTGACATTCAATCTTAGTACTTAGTACAGCATCCTTTTACAGTTATAACAGCTTTTAAACGTGAAGCATAGCTTGACACAAGTGTCTTGCAGCGATCTACGGGTATCTTCGCCCATTCTTCATGGGCAAAGGCCTCCAGTTCAGTCACATTCTTAGGCTTGCGCACTGCAACTGCTTTCTTTTAAGTCCCACCAGAGGTTCTCAATCGGATTTAAGTCTGGTGACTGCGATGGCCACTCCAAAATGTTCCAGCCTTTCCTCTGCAACCATGCTCTAGTGGACTTGGAGGTATGCTTGGGATCATTGTCCTGTTGAAAGGTCCAACGTCTCCCAAGCCTCAGGT